TGTGTGTGTGTGTGTGTGTGTGTGTGTGTGTGTGTGTGTGTGTGTGTGTGTGTGTGTGTGTGTGTGTGTGGACTGTTTAAGTACATAAACAGGTGTATCTTTTTTTCTTACTTAGAAGTGTTCCTCCCTGCAGGCTGTAAATAAGCCTGCCAAATCCACCAGGAGACACACAGATATATCTGCCTTATTGTTTGCTGTCTGTCTGATTCTTTGTTCATGTACACCCGTATAGTTGTGCTGTACTACTGTGCTTACCCTTACCTTACACATACAATCACACATGCAATCTAGCCACTCTTGCTCAGACTTGTTGAAAGCACCCGAAGATAGTGTTGTGCTTAGGCAGTGATGCAGCCATTGTCCTAAATCACTCGTCACACACGAGTGATTTGGGAGGAAAAGAGGGATTTCAGAGGAAAGAGAAAGAAGACTGAGGAGGTGCTGTGCGATAATAAAATGTCAGGATTAATGTTAGGGTTCTGTGACCTGCTGATCTGATGTTTTTACACTGTGACCCCAACATCCTTGAAACAGTTAGTTGAGTCATTATGTATCCGAGTGGTTGGTAACACTTCTTCAAGCTCAGATTCTCTGCCTGAGGCCTGGAAGATTGAGGGTTCTGTGCAGGATCTCATGCCTCACCTACAACACACTGTGAAGATCCAGTACGTGTCACGTACAGGTTAAATAGCTAGTAGCTGCATTTCCATTGACCATGAAAATGCGCAAGTTAAAATTTCGAAAATAAATTTGCTTAATGGAAACATGACAATTTAGGGAAAAAAAACTTACGTTTTTCGACAAAATGTTTTTGCGCTAGGATAAGGTGGCTTTTCAGCCGAATCGAAATTGGTGTATTTTGCAAAACTGCAATGGAAACGCTTTTTTCACATCACGGGAGTCATGTGATCAACAACCGGATGTTTCTACTGGTGAAAAAGTCGACGAAGAAGAAGACAACAGGAAGTGGAAGTAGTAGTATAATCACAGAAGTAGTAAAAGAAAGTAGTAAAATCACAGACTACAATTTCCCAAAAATGCTGCATACGTAGCCACTCCAAGTGTAAGGGGCTTGTCGCTGGAAAGCCTGGATAAGACGCCGACATCGTCTCTGATGGCTGATGATGAGCAGTAGTGTCGTGGTAGCAATATGCATGTGTTAACATCTGTTGCCGCCATGTTTGTAATGACTTATCGCGAGAACAAACATATTCACTCATGATTTTAATAGCATTTTTTACTTAATGGAAACACCACAATTTCAAAACTATGTTTTTTTTGACATTAATAGAATATTGATAGAGTTTTGCGCACGTTTGCAATGGAAACACAGCTATTGATACTGGCCACCATGTTTGTAGAGCATGGCTTTCAGTTTGGATAAAATAAGTTCTCTGGATCTGTGTTTCTGATTATTCTGATATTTTATCACTTTTGTTTTTGTTTGGAAAAAAAAAAGCAATGTACTTAGTGCAGTCATCTCAGGACAGGTGACCAATTTCAAGGTTTTGGTGTGGAAAAAGCAACAGAGAACAYGAAATGAGAACAATCAAACTCCTGTTGAGGAATTAGCAGCCAAGAAAATATGCCAGATGACTGATTCAAGCAAAAATCTTCCTAATTACCTCAAAGTCAAATGACTGGATTTTTAGTGAGGGTTTGCTGTTTTATTTAATGTATCACCAAGAACTAATAAATGAAAAAGTTGGTGATAGAAAGCAAGGCACAAAAAATAAATGCTACTGTTGTGTCTTTCTAAACTTGATCGTTTTTTGCACCTTTGCTAAGACATGAACTGTATGTTGTTAGTGCTACATACTTGGTTAAAGGTCATTTGTATTTCTATAAGCATACTTAGCTTTATTCAAAACAAATAGTTTTTCGGTAATTATTGACCTGTATTAGCTCTGGAACAAAGATTTTAATATTGGCCCCATGTGTAACTGAGTTTGACAACCCTGGTTTAGAGCAACTACTTTTCCAGTGTGGATTATTCCATTTACAGATTGTGCTAGAAGGCACCATGAAGATTTCCTGTGTTCGTCTTTGAGCTAATGCAGCTAACACAGCTAACACAGCTAAAAGCTAACAGAGCTAATGCAGCTAACACAGCTAAAAGCGAACACAGCTAATGCAGCTAACACAGCTAAAAGTGAACACAGCTAATGCAGCTAACACAGCTAAAAGTGAACACAGCTAATGCAGCTAACACAGCTAAAAGTGAACACAGCTAATGCAGCTTAGTTCCTTTAAGCCAGAGTTGTTCATTCTTTCTGTGTCTGTGTGTAGAGTAACATCATCAGTGTGTCACTACAACATTGTGTTTGTTTACAGATTGCAGTGTGACTGTCAACATAACACTTGTGGTGTGTCCTGTGACCAGTGTTGTCCTGGATATCATCAGTTACCATGGAAACCTGCCACCACCTACAGTGCCAACGAATGTGAATGTGAGTGGAAAGCAGTACTTCACACCGACAAACATTCAAGTGGAGGCTTACACACACACACGTTGGTTTTTCTACCCTCACAGGGACTTTCCATTGACTTCATTCATTTTGTCTGACACTTTACCCTAAACCTAACCTCACAGGTACGCACCTGACCCTAAATCTGACCTAAAGTCATCTCATACTTTGGTCCTAAACTCAAAAATGGTATCCATACTCTTGGAGACCAGGCGTTGGGAGCATTGGGTCTGTTTTTTGAAAATGGTCCTTGTGGTGTAGCAAATCTGCACACACACACACACACACACACACACACACACACACACACACACACACACAC